GATCATCAAGTCTCTGGACGAGGACCCGGCGGCCCAGAATAAGCAGCTGACGCTCCGCCTCCAACAGATCGCCGCCGCACTGGAGAACAAAGTCACTGACCTTTGACCTCAGTGAAGGTCGGATACTGAAACACACAGGAAGTTGTTTTTCCCGGGAATGGACCTAAAAGGAGGACGAGCTCACGGACTCTAAGGAATGTTTTGACCATAATAAGGACTGAAGTGGGAGGAGCCACAGGAAGCTGATGGCCATATAAGGAGTGACGGAGGGAGATGTTACGAATGAACGAAGATTTTTGGACAATTTAAGAGAGAAAAGAGTGGTGGGAACACTTCCGGAGAGACAACACCAAGAAGGCCATTTTAAAATGTGTGAAATCAAAGGGTTATTTTTTTAATTCGGTGTGATAGTCGGTCCTTTTTGCTTCTCTGCACCACCATTTATTTTATCATTCAAGGACTAAAGAAGTGCCACTTTTAGGATGAAGAATTTACATAAAAAGACATTACCAAATATTTTCTTTATATACGACGCAGCCCTTTTTTATTTGTTTTGGAAGTACTACCACTTGCGTATCACAGAACTGTGGATTTGAGGTCAATATTTTTTGTTTCCACACTAAACGGCAACAAGAGAAATCGGATGTTTTCTCAGTGAAAGAAAATCGTTTCATCCTAACGCGTTTATTTAATCGACCAATGGAAACCCACTACGGTACACACCACTGGCCAATCAGGGCTCTTGGTTGAGGAGAGTGAATTCAGGGTACGATGTCCAAAAAAAACACATAATTTTAACCTTTTTTTAATCATACCCAAATGTTGTTTTTCATATCGGATCATGTGACGACACCACGCAGATTATTCGTGTTATTCTCTGTAAGCAGGCTTTCCATGTATGAGAAGGATCTTTTTAATGGACTGATACAAAGCCACTTAATTGCTTTATTTTGCAAAGTGTTAATCAGGGTGGTTCATATCCATGTGCAAGAGTGTGTGAGTCTGTGTTCAACATTTGTATCATCACCGGTTTGCTTGTTTTTACCTGTCTGCCTAATCATGCTTAAAAAACACTTTTACTTTGATTTGTTTTTATAATCTTTTTAGTCTCACCTCTGATTGCCCTTCATATATATAATGCTGCTTTTCGTTTCTGCGCACATGTGAGGAGGTGAAGTGTCTTCTGAAGACAGGGTATCCATGCCTCCTTCAAAAAGGCGTCGAATAAATCAAAATGTGAGATGTTAAATGTATTAAATCCAGTTATTGTTTTCGTCCACCGTGCTTTACAAGTGTTCATCCAATACACAGGACTCTTTAAAGTAGAGACACTACACACTGATATACACCTGAACATCAGCAGGAGAGCACTCTTTAAAGTAGAGACACTACATACTGATATACACCTGAACATCAGCAAGAGAGGACGCTTTAAAGTAGAGACACTACATACTGATATACACCTGAACATCAGCAGGAGAGGACTCTTTAAAGTAGAGACACTACATACTGATATACACCTGAACATCAGCAGGAGAGGACTCTTTAAAGTAGAGACACTACATACTGATATACACCTGAACATCAGCAGGAGGAAACTCTTTAAAGTAGAGACACTACATACTGATTATACACCTGAACATCAGCAGGAGAGGACTCTTTAAAGTAGAGACACTACATACTGATATACACCTGAACATCAGCAGGAGAGGACTCTTTAAAGTAGAGACACTACATACTGATATACACCTGAACATCAGCAGGAGAGGACTCTTTAAAGTAGAGACGCTACTACTGATATACACCTGAACATCAGCAGGAGAGGACTCTTTAAAGTAGAGGACACTACATACTGATATACACCTGAACATCAGCAGGAGAGAACTCTTTAAAGTAGAGACACTACATACTGATATACACCTGAACATCAGCAGGAGAGGACTCTTTAAAGTAGAGACACTACATACTGATATACACCTGAACATCAGCAGGAGAGGACTCTTTAAAGTAGAGACACTACATACTGATATACACCTGAACATCAGCAGGTGAGGACTCTTTAAAGTAGAGACACTACATACTGATATACACCTGAACATCAGCAGGAGAGGACTCTTTAAAGTAGAGACACTACACACTGATATACACCTGAACATCAGCAGAGGAGAGACTCTTTAAAAGTAGAGACACTACACACTGATATACACCTGAACATCAGCAGGAGAGGACTCTTTAAAGTAGAGACACTACATACTGATATACACCTGAACATCAGCAGGAGAGGACTCTTTAAAGTAGAGACACTACACACTGATATACACCTGAACATCAGGAGGATAGGACTCTTTAAAGTAGAGACACTACACACTGATTTACACCTGAACATCAGCAGGTGAGGACTCTTTAAAGTAGAGACACTACATACTGATATACACCTGAACATCAGCAGGTGAGGACTCTTTAAAGTAGAGACACTACATACTGATATACACCTGAACATCAGCAGGTGAGGACTCTTTAAAGTAGAGACACTACATACTGATACACCTGAACATCAGCAGGAGAGGACTCTTTAAAGTAGAGACACTACATACTGATATACACCTGAACATCAGCAGGTGAGGACTCTTTAAAGTAGAGACACTACATACTGATATACACCTGAACATCAGCAGGAGAGGACTCTTTAAAGTAGAGACACTACATACTGATATACACCTGAACATCAGCAGGAGAGGACTCTTTAAAGTAGAGACACTACATACTGATATACACCTGAACATCAGCAAGAGAGGACTCTTTAAAGTAGAGACAATACATACTGATATACACCTGAACATCAGCAGGAGAGGACTCTTTAAAAGTAGAGACACTACATACTGATATACACCTGAACATCAGCAGGAGAGGACTCTTTAAAGTAGAGACACTACATACTGATATACACCTGAACATCAGCAGGAGAGGACTCTTTAAAGTAGAGACACTACATACTGATATACACCTGAACATCAGCAGGAGAGGACTCTTTAAAGTAGAGACACTACATACTGATATACACCTGAACATCAGCAGGAGAGGACTCTTTAAAGTAGAGACACTACATACTGATATACACCTGAACATCAGCAGGAGAGGACTCTTAAAGTAGAGACACTACATACTGATATACACCTGAACATCAGCAGGAGAGGACTCTTTAAAGTAGAGACACTACATACTGATATACACCTGAACATCAGCAGGTGAGGACTCTTTAAAGTAGAGACACTACATACTGATATACACCTGAACATCAGCAGGAGAGGACTCTTTAAAGTAGAGACACTACATACTGATATACACCTGAACATCAGCAAGAGAGGACTCTTTAAAGTAGAGACAATACATACTGATATACACCTGAACATCAGCAGGAGAGGACTCTTTAAAGTAGAGACACTACATCAGGCATCCTCAAACTACGGACTCAGGTCCGGATCCGGACCGAACCACCACTGTCTCCGGACTCTGAGCAAATTATACTTTTCATATGTATTATCTCTCTGTATTATATGTGAGACATCGCCACAACGCATTCGCAACGAGTCAAAATGATCCGCTATGTCCACTGCAAACAGCGCTCTGCATGTCTGACTGTTCCACTGTGTTCCACCTGTGTGTGTCAACGCTTTGGTCCAATCACATTCAGCATCCAGTCAGCGTTTTTTCCCCCCAAACAATCTGCGAATCAGAGGCACAGTAGGGCGGGTCTTCGCGGAATGCGGGTGGGAAAAATGTGTGTGTCTCTTTCAACCTGTCTAAGTCAGAGCGAGAATTTAAAAAAAAAATTCAGAGCGAAAAGTTAACAGCTCATCTAGTTCCATCTGTACTGTAGCTAGTAGCCTAGTTTCACCTACCGGGGTGGCAACTGACACCCTAAAAATAGGCCTTGCCACCCCAGTTGGCAGCTTTGTTTTGAAAGAAAAGTTGTGGCTCATCGGACATTTATGAGAGAAAGTCTCTAATGTCCGAGTGCAAGTGAATGCAGCACAAGATGCACGTCATGTAACCCCTCCCCCGGTCCTGGCGCGAGCGTGGACATGATTGGCGGCCATTTCATTTTGAACTGGACGGCGCAAAACGAGAAGCATTCGGACCCAAGCACTGAAGCAATGAGGTATTTGCGGTCTGACAGAGAAGAGACTGTCAGTTTGGCTGCACTCAGCATTGAATCAAAACGCACTAAAGCTGTTGATCTTAATACGTTTGTGAGGCGTTTTGCTGAACAAGATGGTAATCGGCGCATTCAGCTGTAATAGACATGCCAACTTGATGCTCTGCTCACGGATGAGCATACACAACTATTAAGATGATGACTATTAAGACGTGTGTAAATATATTTTTTTCTTTGAGGGGGTCTGCCCCCAAAAAACAGTTTTAAGTCCTGAGAAAGTCAAATCAGACGGTGTGTAAAACTACACTGCCCAGCCAACAGAAAGTAACCACTTTGATGTAACTAGGCCAGTAGGTAAGGACTCTCCACTGGATAATAACTGAAGTATAAAAGAATGCATGACTGAAGTGATGGACACCATGTTGAAGGCAAACACAAAGAGGAAATAACAGGTCAAAGCAAATCTCCCTCTCAAATTCCACAGCAACCAGAAGAACATAAATACTGGCTGGTGATTTGATTCATCAGCTTTGTGATGGAATAAAAAATGCACAGTGCATTTCCTTAGCTGTGGGTGAGTCCACTGACACCACTGACAATGCTCAGTTGCTGGTGTTTGTGAGTTGTTATGATGAGGCAAAGGGGGAGTTTGTTGAAGATGTGTTGGGCCTGACGAACCTCAGTGGACGCACAAGAGGGCAAGACATTTATAAAGCAATAATGGGAATGCTGAATGAAAGAGGGTGCAGCTGCCTTTATTCATAACTGTGCAGCTCTTACACTGCGACTCTGAGGGGTCAAGCACAGACACAATAACAATGAAAACTGCTGCATACAGAGACTTTTTGTTTTTGCAACCTCGTGTTAAGAATCTTGTTGCAATTGTTTAAAAGTTTGAATGACCGTGATAAACGGACCTTTGTTTTATTGAAACATTTATTTTGGACCTTTAAGATTTGTATTTGAGTACCCCTGCACTACATACTGATATACACCTGAACATCAGCAGGATGTGGCCCCTTTAATGTTAAATATAATAAATCTGATATCTCTTAAAAAAGACCTCTCTCGCTTCTATCTCCCACCAGCGAGTGCTTTTAAGAGAAGAACTGAAAGAAGATTTGGAAGTAAATGCCAAAAGAAATAAGTGTCACGTACATGTTTGTCTTTCTTTGTCAAGTCATGCAAACGATTAGCAGTTTACTCACTCCTAAATGACATGAGACGATAAGAAAGCTTGGACCATTTTGTCACTTTGGAAAGATATGTGACATTAAAACTGAAATGTTGAGATTTTACTGAATCATTTCTCAACTTTAAATATGATTTAATATAAAAACCACTTTAAATATAGGCATTTACAAAGTGCATTAGGAACCATGAATGGTGGAACATTAGTTTAGCGTAAAACCATTGAAAAATACTATTATAATATAATATATATAATATAATATATTCCTCACATCTTTATGTATGATTTGGATGTTTAATTTAGAGTTTTTCGGGTTCAGGGAAATGTCAGTGTGTGACGACTGGATGAGGGATTAGATCGAAGAGTTAAGCGTCCACTATTTGGAAACATTTTGTTTTAAAGGTCACCTATAATGCAAAATCCACTTCTTCACGTCTCTTCTTCATCAACATGTGTCCCCTCTTCTTCATGTCTCTTCTACATCAACATGTGTCCCCTCTTCTTCATGTCTCTTCTACATCAACATGTGTCCACTCTTCTTCATGTCTCTTCTACATCAACATGTGTCCCCTCTTCTTCACGTCTCTTCTTCATCAACATGTGTCCCCTCTTCTCATGTCTCTTCTTCATCAACATGTGTCCCCTCTTCTTCATGTCTCTTCATACATCAACATGTGTCCCCTCTTCTTCATGTCTCTTCTACATCAACATGTGTCCCCTCTTCTTCAGTCTCTTCTACATCAACATGTGCCCCTCTTCTTCACGTCTCTTCTACATCAACATGTGTCCCCTCTTCTCATGTCTCTTCTACATCAACATGTGTCCCCTCTTCTTCATGTCTCTTCTACATCAACATGTGTCCCCTCTTCTTCATGTCTCTTCTACATCAACATGTGTCCCCTCTTCTTCATGTCTCTTCTACATCAACATG